ATCTACAAACCGCCTGTATACCTCGATGAGTGGAAGAAGGCAACGGTCGGTAGCCTCTGCGGCAACATGCTGGACCTCAGCGAGGAGCGCCTAGCTTCCATTGATAAGGACACTCCTTGGTGGGAGGGCGGCAGAGAGGGTGGCGGCGGTAAGCGCAGAGAAAGCACATCGCGGCCACGCAAGGCTGAAGCCTTTGATGGCGAGTACGACGACACACATGGTAAGTTTCCCATGGACTGAGGTGCCTTGTATCATGGAACTAACAGAGACCTAGCGCCTACACGGTTTAAGCCGCCGCTGTTCCTCAAGTGTGGTCCGTTGTTGAGATACTGCGGACTCAAGCACGAAAAGGTGCCCGCTCGCAACAGGAACATCGCTGTCAACGAGAAGACATTGTGGAGGGGCTCAGTCATGATCGTCACGCAAGACAGCGATTCCTCATACGAAATCGCGCCAACTCTGAGGCTTTTCGTGCAGCCTATCGAGCTTCTACCGCCCCCGCCTCAGGAGATCTCCGGGGAGCAGGGCTTGCCGCCAGAATACGTGGACCCGATTGCGGGCATCCCGAAGCTGGGCAGACGGGGAGAGACGCTATATGTCCGCCCTGTGGAGCATCTCGACGAGGCCAAGGACTTGTCCAGAGACGAGACAGACAATGGCCTATTTGAGAAGACGAGAAGCCCGCCCGACTACACCCCGCCAAATGGGTCTCCGGACTTGCCTGGGTCTTTCGCCAGCCGTAGAAAGCGCGTGGAGATTGACGGAGAAAAGGTCTCCAAGTACAAGGATGTTCGCGGCTTCAGACTGCACGCAGAGCGCGGATGCACATTCTGGCGCTTCAACATTGAGATCGAGCTTCGTGAGAAGCAGCAGCGGATCGCATACAGAATCAACAGGGGACCTGCTATGGGCTTCTGGGTTCCCGCGCTGGGCCAGTCCATGAACATCATGTTCCACAGCTGCAACGGCTTCAGTGCTAGTGTCAACCCCGACGACTTCAGCGGACCGGACCCCATGTGGCGCGACGTTCTCAACACGCACCAGTCACAGCCTTTCCACGTCATGATTGGCGGTGGCGATCAAATCTACAATGATTGCCTGATGGACCAAAGCAAGCAGTTCCGCGAATGGCTGGCGATCAAGAATCCCTTACACAAGCATAACTCGCCCTTCACCCTGACAATGCAGGATGAGCTTGAGCGAGCTTATCTGGAACGGTACTGCATGTGGTTCTCGCAAGGTCTGTTTGGTCTGGCCAATTCGCAGATTCCCATGGTCAACATGTGGGACGACCACGATATCTCTGATGGCTTCGGCTCCTACGCACACCACGACATGAACTCCCCAGTGTTCTCTGGACTTGGCAACGTTGCCTACAAGTACTACATGCTATTCCAGCACCAGAGCGTTCCAAGTGAGACGGATGCCACTGAGCCCAGTTGGGTGCTTGGCAGCAAACCTGGTCCGTACATCAGCGAGTTGAGCCGTAGCTTGTTTGTTGAGCTAGGATCCAATATTTCTCTACTCGCTGTTGACGGCAGAACGGAGCGGACCGAACTTGATGTGGTCAGTGAGCCCTCGTGGCAGAAGATCATGGACCGCTGCTATGAAGAGCTGCGGACAGGCAGAACCAAGCACTTGCTTGTTTTGCTTGGCGTTCCGATTGCCTACCCCAGATTGGTCTGGTTGGAAAACATGTAAGTCGATACGGACCCAGTGACAACATGAAGACAAGCTAACAAATGCAGTCTCACTTCGAGAGCCATGGATCCCGTCAAGGCACTCGGAAAGCTGGGCATGCTCGGCAATACCCTCAACCACATTGACGGAGGCGTCGAAGTTCTCGACGACCTCAACGACCACTGGACTGCCAAGAACCACAAGAAGGAGCGCACAGTCGTGATCCAAGATATGCAGGATCTGGCGGCTGATAAGTCCGTGAGAGTTACTTTCCTGAGTGGTGACGTTCATCTCGCTGCGGTGGGCCAGTTCTACGCCAACCCCAAGCTCGGCCTACCCAAGCACAAGGACTTCCGATACATGCCAAATGTTGTCTCCTCAGCGATCGTCAACACGCCGCCTCCTGATCTGATGGCGGATATCCTGAACAAGCGTAACAAGATTCATCACTTTGACGAGTCGACCGATGAAGACATGATCCCGCTCTTCCACCATGGCGTCGATGGTAAAGCGAGAAACAACAAGCACCTGTTGCCCCATCGCAACTGGTGCTCTATCCGAGAATGGACTCCAGGCACAACGCCGCCTCCCACGCCGCCGTTGTCGGCTTATGATAGAAGCCCAAGCCCACCAGCCAGCCGTGGAGGCCTCTTGAGACGGTTCTCTTCGAATCGTGGCCCTGCCTACCGACCCGATGTTCAGCGCGATGAGTCTCGTTCGCGTCCTCCGATTTCCAACAACAAGGGCAAGGCTGGTGGTCTGTTCCGAAGTCTCTCGCGCCGCAACTCGACTGACGGAGGCCGACCACCCACTGTTGACAAGCCCAAGCGGTCATTGTCGTTGACGCGTGTCTTCAGTCTTGGCCGCCGAAACAGCAAAAAGTCTCAGCCCGATGATGGTGGCATCAATGGAAATTGGGGAGAGGAAGAAAGCGTCGACGGCAGTGTTGATGATGGATACTATGGATATGATGATGAGTACGACCGCCGACGTGCGCCCAGGTCTCGGGGTATGGGTCTTCGAGGGGGAGGAGGACACGACGAGTACCAGTCCGGTGACGACTCCTACTTCACGGCTCGTCCTGCAGCACGGATGAGGGGCGCACCTGTCAGGGCTGGACCTGAGTCGGAAGACGAGTTCTCGCCCGGCGATGAGTCCCAGTTCACAGCTCATCCGCCACCGCGCGCCTACACTATGGGTGACGAGCGCCAGGTTCCTCGGTCGCAAGAGATGCTACCACGACCAAAGGCGTTCCACCGTACCCCAACCGGGCTGTCGGTTAAGCAGAAGAAGAAGAAGGCGGACACATATGAAGTCGACCTTGAGGGTGGCTTGGATATTTGCCTCAATGTGGAGGTGAACCAGAAAGATCCCACTGGCATTACGGTGCCTTACCGACTGCTTGTGCCACGCCTCATCTGGGACGACGCCAAGGAGGCGGCTACAGTGCAGCCGGCTCCTCCTTCTGGCTTCAAGAGAATGTTCAGCATGAAGAAGAAGGATGCTGGCGCCGTCGTGCAGCCTCAGGGACCGGCGTCAGAAGAGCAGTTTGAGGGATCTGTCAAACAAGGCTCCGTCAAGCAGGGCTCACTTAAGCAAGGGTCCGTCAGGCAGCCATCAGTAGCACCTTCCGCTGGACGGGAGCCTGTCTACGATGCGCCGCCTAAGAACGCAAGGTACGAATCGCCTGGAGGTTATGATTCGGCCCGCACACACGGGTCGTCGGGGAGATTCGACTCGCCGGCTAGGCACGAGATGCAGAGTGTGAGGCAGGGCCGGTGAAGGGAAACGCGCGACGACGTAAACGAGGGTTAATGAGAATGAGGGTGAAGGCTTTTCTTTTTTTCTTTTTGGTACATTATTGGTTCGAAGCATGACATGTGGGCATTGCGACGGAGTAGGATTGCAAACGAGGATACAAAAGTTTTGGATTGCTGGCTCTCCCTTCCTTGAGTTGGGGGATAGGCTTTTTTCGATACCTCTAGGGCCGGGTGGCCTTTTTACGTTAGTAATGACGATTATGACTCCTAAGCTTGGATGAGATGAAGTGATTGCGAGACCCAGATGTGCTCAACTCCTGATCAGCATCGATTTGTTACGGCCCGATAAAGATCGAGGACGAAAATGTAAAGCAAGGGACGATGTGAAGGGGGGGGATGACTCCATAATCGAAAGCTATAGCCAACGCGATAGCGCTGCACTTCAGGATTATAACCATCTTAAGCTTCTGAGCAGAAGTCCCTGCGTCATGGCTGTGAGGTAGCTAGCTATTGGGAAAATCTGAGGTGGTTCGCTTGCTCCCTATAGCCTACCTGCCTCACCTGCCTCGGGTATAGATGGATGTAGGTGCAGGAGGTGACGCTTGCCCAACCACTGCCGCTTCGATACCGATGCGTGACGTGCGCCGTAACAAGCAGCATGCATTTCAGGGAGTTTCTAGGCTTTTTTTCTTCAGTATGATTGGCATCCAATCCTTTCGGTTAATCGAAGATTATGGGCTCCTCCTTCACAAGGATTTAAGCCCCGAGACTGACAAGACTCAAGCTGGCTACTCGGGCCGATATCCAACACTTGCTTCGGAGTAGGGCTCATCCATTTGACACAGTCGGCTCAAGCTTTGAGTGAACTTGCCCCTTGCCAGCGACTTGATCGACTTAGGATCAGCATTGTCAGGTGCTCCAGGTCACTCATTGTCTCAAAACGCAAAAAAAAGTTATGGTCATGTCAAATTTTGATTTTAAAAGTTGCAGCCTTTATAAACCAGTCAGTATTGGGCGAGGAGGAGAGATAAGAAGAGTGATAATAAACCAACCTTTTCAGACTGAAACGCGCCTGCCGACGTGCTTTCCCGCGAACCAGCTTGTCTTGAGCTTGGTCGCGACACATCGGCAAAGGCCAATACCCTATCAAGGCCTTCTTTTTATTTTAACCCTCTCATGTTTTTTTTGCCAACGCCTGAGGGGGTTGGCAAAAGGGGGGGATGATACATCGTCGATGGTAAATAGCCCACCGCCCACCCCTTGGAATCTTTCCCGCTAGTATCAGTTGCGCTCACTTATTTCTTCGCCCGTCTGCTTTCATTCAATGTCATCGCCGTCCTTGGTAGCAACGACTTCTCTCTCGACGCTACGGCTGCGACTGCGTCCGCGGCCGCGGTTCTGCGCTCTCGCGCCGCCGCGGATGTTGTTGTTCTGGTTGTTGTTGCCGCCCTTGCCGCCGGGCGGGGGGCGGACAAAGGCGAAGTCGACGTAGACGGTCTGTTCGAGGAGCTTTGCCTCGTGGGCCCCGTCGATTGCGGCGCGGGCTTCGGTGAGGGTTGCGTATTCGATGAGGGCGTAGCCCTGTTCTGAATGTCAGCTTTCCATATTTTCCCCCCAAAGTTTCATCTCCGTGGTTGTAGGATCATAGTCCAGTGAAAAGTCGAATGCTAAAGTAGAGAGGAAGGCGCACCTTGACGTAACCGCTTCTCCGGTCGAGGTTGAGGTGCAGGTTCTTGATCTCGCCGTACTCGCCAAACATGTCCTGGATGGACTCCTCGTCGGCCTCTTCGTGGACGTTTGTGACCATGATGATCCAGCCCTCGATGGAGCGGACGGCGGTCGCGCGGCCGTGGGTCTGCATCTCGGATTCATTGCGCGCCGGCGCGGCGCCGGCGGCGGCTCCTCCCTCGGCGGCGGAGGGGGAGGGGGGGTTGTCGATTTCCATTTCTACGTCGGCCATTGTGTAAGGGTATGTTTGGCTTGGGATGTTGATTTGGTGAAAGGAGATGCGGGGGAAGGAAGCTAGAGTATTATTCGTTAGTCCCCTTGATCTGGCGTCGATGTTCTTTGCTGAGTGCTTACGTTGGGTGTTTTGGAGGTGGTGAGCTTTTTTGGCGAGGCTGGAATCGTGAGAGGGACAATGACAGACCGACTTGCTTGCTCCCAAAGATGCGCGCGGGACAAAGATGCAAAAAAAGTGGAGGGGACGTTGGAATGGAGATTTCTGAGTGGAGGTACGTAGCGGAGTGCGGGAGCTTGCGCACGGGCTTCCTAACGATCCTCGCGTGGCCGCGAATCTAATTGTCCCCTGAGCACCGCGATGGGACAGTGGATTGGTGATGTTGTTACTTGCCGGATTTTCACACCACTGGGAGACAGTACTGGGACATTCGGCAGAAAGTTTTGGTGATTTTCATTGCAAGAGTAAGCAGTGTGGTATTTACGTGAGGATATCGAAGAATTGAAGAATGTTTGTGCGGTGTGAAAAGGGGGTAAAGGTAGAAGGAATGTCTCGCTGGAAATGACACCTGTGGTTTCTGTGAACCAAAAACTCCTGCAACGCCTGACCCAAGTTCCCGTCGTCCACCTGGCCCCCTAAGCGCATCAAGGCCATCAAAGGGCGAGACCATGATAAAAGAAAAAGGTATCATGGTGAATGCGTCATTGTGGGTGTGGAATGACTAGAAAAGTTGACCATCTGGTCTTGAAAGAAGGAAAGCAAGAAGTGAGGAAGATTCTAAAGGCATGGCGAAGGCTTAGAAACGCATGCACATCATGAGGCAGTCCATGCAGCTCGAACAGCACTGAGCCTGCATTCAGGAATACTCGTCAGCGAAATGTAAATGATCGCCTTCAGGTCGATAAAGATTCAAAACTTACGCAAGACCAGTCCTCTTTCTGGGTGTCCTCCTCCTTGGGTTGCACCATGTTGGGATCCATGGTTTGTCTTTGGGGTTGATCGGCCGTCATCTTGAGTGAATTGTCTGGTTGTTGCAACTTATGGCTTACTGAAAGTTTGCGTGACGTTGAAAAGAGATGTCCCTGGGATGGAGAGAGAGTGACTGGGAATCAAATCGACAAGAAAAAAAAACGACACGAAAATTGCTGTGAAGAAGATTACTCCGATTCGAAACGAGAGAAAGGGACGGGATGTGTCTCCTCCTCAATTATATCTCAAACAACATCTCATTGCCCATGGGCCATTTCTCTCATCTCCTTGGTGCCCAGGAAAACCAGTAGAGAGGAGGAGGGCTGTGCAGCATCCCCGCCAAGGATATCCCCATCCATACAATCTTACCGTGTAAACCAGGGACAAAAAAAACCGTCAGCCCAGAATACGCGGGCGCTACCACTACCACTCGTACACAATACAGAACACAAACACGCTGCACCACACACCAGTGACAACCACACGCTTGCGTTGCAGGACAACTGCGCATCCACCAGATTAAAAGAGGGGGGCCCAAGTTTCGTCTTGGCGAAGTTGGCTCAAGGGGTGGAGGGGTCGCGCGAAGGAAGCGGATACCCGACTCAAATGCTACAGGTAACGGTAGCAGGAAAGAATCATACTACGTAGATGGGTTACAACTTACATGGAAGTGACACGGCGAGGTTGCTTTGAAAAAGGGTAGCAAACCAGAGCGCCAAGTTGGTCAGATAATAAAAAAACTGGATTCATGGGCCAATGTTGATCGGCGTGGATACGGATAGGTAATTGGCCCGTCTTGCCTTGCTTTCCGTTCTTTAATTGCTCAGAGGTTTTTCTTCCGCGTAGAATCCTCCTCCAAACTGTGATCCCCCGGGCGGTTGCAAGTATGAGGTTTGTGCGTGGATGTGCCTATCAGCTATCTTGGTGAAACGGTGATACTTGAAACAACCATCATCCCAGCTCGACTCGAGATGGCAGAAAATAATTCACCCTTTTCTTATGTCCGTCCCCGAGGTTTGGTGTTCCCCGAATCGACCAGCAAAATTGGACCTCTAATAGTTCGCACATGTGGTTTAATCTCCCAAGCACTTTAAGGACGCGGCGGCAGTGCGTACCCCTGAGCAGAGTTGCGTAGGCTGCAGGCAGCAGGTTCGCGTTCACCCACCCCTTGTTTGCCATGCGGCACTTCTGATCCTTTCGGTGGGGTTTGCTCGTACGGACCTAGGACGGGGTGCAGCTGGTTATCAGAGTACGAGGCTTAGCTGTGAGACAGGATGGTTACGGGGACGAGTCGGCCCAAGGGATTTAGATGCTAGAAAAGCCTCATGAGGTCCGGCTCACCGTCCGGTAGGGCTGAACCTGAACCAGACATCGAGGCAGTGCTTCGTTCCGTGACGAGCGGGAGCTTCGTAGGTCGGCAGTCGTCTTTCAGCTGTTCATGGATAGACCTGATTTGCCGTTAATTTGGACTCAATGACATTCTGTTCGATGGCTTGATACAAGCCTGTCATCAACCATGTCCCCGATATGAGAAGCACCAAGCTCCATCGTAGTCTCCATGAGTGATGTACCTATCGAACCAAGCTTAAAACTCCTCTTCGTCTTGATGCGTACCTTGAAGCTCAAAGCTCTTTGACTAGTGTTCCCAGCATCCTCCCTCACGCCGTACCGGTAGTCAGCCGTGACCAGTCGTCCTTGGGACGGCCCATCCCAACTAAACCATGTACCCGATGTTCATATACGTCACATCGAGGTGGGCACTTTGAAAGACTCTTAAAATCCCAAATGAAGTATTTTGTTTGATACTTGATTCGACCGAGGCTACCTACCAACCCAGCATACTCAATACCTGGGGCAAAACTTGACAATCTTGTCTTCTGTCACCATTTTACCTTGCCAATTTCATATCTCCAAGTCAATCCTACAGTCAAAATGGAACGAACACCGAAAGCAAGCAAACGTAGCAGGCTTTGAATGGGCAATCGTTGCTCAAGCAGTAGTCTCCTTCCCCTTGTACTCGGCTGTCCGGCCGACCTTCTCCCAAGGGGCAAACGCCTAAAGACTTGGTTAGCATATATGTAAGTGAGCGAGAGACAGACACCCAGCAGGACTTACGTTGTCAACATTACGCAACGGCGCAGCAAGCTCAGGGAAATGTCTACACAGCACATCCTTCATGGTGTTCTTCTGCACCCAGTCCATACCCTCCCGCGTGTACACCTCGGGGCACCATCCATCGCCGGCGAGGAACCGATCAGACTTGATGCGGCGACTAGCCATGAGAATGAAGACGCGAAAAGCCGTGTCGCTGAAGCCGAAACCTTCAGGCAGAGGCTCACTGAGCGTGCCAGCCAGGAGATCAACGGCCTCGATATCGCCATTATATACCTCCTCCAAATCCGCTGCCAATTTTGCGGCCTCCGCACCGGGGCCCGTCAGGTCCTTGAAGCTGCGGACGGGCGGCATGTGGAACAGCCGGCGGAAGGCATTGTACCTCGGCACGCCGCGCTCACGGTCACGGAGGATATCGACGGTTCCCATATCGAGATGCCTGCCCTGAGGAAATTCTTTGTCGGCGGGAAGGTGCAGATCACGGAGAAAGTTGGGCATGTTCTTCGCGCGGATGGCGCCGGGGTAGTTGACGCCAAAGGAGTAGAAGACGTCGGCAAAGTTCAAGCCTAGGCCGTTGTTGTTCGTGGTCTTGTCGTCTAATGGCGTGCGGGCTCTTTCGAAAGCGACCTCCTTCATTGGGAGGGTGTCGGCGTGTTGTCCGCTCTTGACTTTGAAGAAGGCAATGTCGTCGGGGACGAGCGGGTGCAGACGGTATACGGAAACGAATTCCTCGGTCAGAGAGTATGGGGCGCCGTCTTGGTCGGTTCCTGAGCCCGGGATGCCTGAGATGACCTCGGACTTGTTGTCAAAGATACGGCCGAAGACGTGCCACAGCTGTTCGGCATTGTTAGTGATTCCATCGCAAAAGCACCGATAGGGGGGCTTACCTTCTCTCCAACCAAACCCCACCAGTTCGCCTCCATGCCGATCTTCAATGTTGGATGCTTCAGGATAGCAGGCGTCCACTCGACGGTGTGAATCTTGGCCATGAGTGCACAGTTGATCAACCTCGCCGTGTCAAAGATCTCATCACTCGTCCACGACGGGTTCGACAGTTTGAGGTGGCCAGCGATAGCATTATGCTCCAAAGCAAAGAGGGTGTGCAGTATCTCAAGACCAACCCACCAATTATGATGGAAGCCGGTTTTAGGAATACCGTTCTCGCGAGGAAGGAACTGCTCGCCATTCACACGATCGACCGCAAGCTGTCCATCATGGCAGTTGGATCGAAGCTCCACGGTCTCGGCTTCAGTTGAACCATAGATCTGCGAGCCGTCCCACCAGTGCGTGTTTTCGTTCTTGTAGCCCGGCGACTCGTCATCCAGCTTGGAGAGGGTGCTGTCGACCTTGGTTTTGAAGATCTTCATCTTCTTGTCTGGCCAGGTGTCTCCCTTGGGCATGGGAACTTCCCAAGTCTCCTCGCTCGAGGCATGCTGCGCCCAGTCGTGGACCTGGAATTGGATCCAAGCAGCGGCGAGCAGGTTGACGATCGTGGCGGGCTTGAAGCCACCTTCCGGTCTCGCGAGAATCCTCTCAGAGATGAGTCTCGGGTTCGGCGTATACAGCTCTTCGTGGGTGGGCATCTTGGCGTGCTCTCTGGGGATGTTGCGGCCGAAACGCATCCCGGCGCAGCCCATCTTGGGCGCTTGGAGGTCGTTATAGAGGCCATCTGAGTTCCTGACGGCCATGAACTTGGTGTCGGCCATGGGACATTGCGCCGGTGTGCCTTGGTCTTCAGGAGAGGGGTATGTATCGTATAGGTTCTCCTGGCGCAGCTCGAATCGCAACGCCAGAAGGTTGAAGGCGCCAATGAAGGCTGGCAATTTGTGCCATGCAATGAAGATGTTGACAACCTTCCAAAATTGGATGAAGAGGAACTTGAATATGTCTTCGACGGACTGGCGAACCTGGCTCTTAGTTGCAGGCTTCATGTTTGTTGTTTGCTGTTTGCTGAGATACCATTGATTTCCAGACATGACAGAAGCTTCACCAGACGAGCGCCATGCCACTCTTATACAGCCATTTCGCTTCAACACCTGCAAGCCTCGAGCAGCAGTCACATGCCAGCCAGGAAGGATATCGAGGCTGTTCAAGGCGTTTTCTGCGTTAGACCAGCATCTCGAGCCTCGTATAGCAGCATGTCATCCCGCCACCAGGCAGACGACGAATGGAATTTGTTTCAATCGTCAGCATCTGCTGCGAATAAGAAAGAATACAGACGCGCTGCCAATCCAGCTTACCTTTTGAAATGTATCCTCGAACCAGCCCCCAAGAACGGCGAAGCCCCCAACCTGTCATCGAATGCCTTCATGAAGAAGGTAGGATTCGGAGTGATAGGTGTGTACCACCCGATGCTGACTCCTCGGGAACGTACGCCGTCCAATGAGCACTGCTGGGGACGGCCTCCCTTCCTGGCCGCCTTGCGCAAATGGCCGGCTGAGGTCAGCCAGCTGAAGCGCCTGCTGACATGTTTGTCTATTCGACAGGAGGTGGTTCGCACTCGAACGCGAGCTTGCAGCTGTAGAAGGCTTTCTTGCTTGAAAAGGGGTGATGTCTGCCAATCTATTGCGACTTGCTGGGTGCCAGGCAGGACTCAAAAGTTAGGAATAATTGAGGCCATTCGAGCTTGATTCGATCCAGTGCTGCGATTTAAATGGGCCACACCTAGGTGATGCTAAGGAAGGACGTGGAATCGCAGTTATTCAGCGTGCAAGAGAGCATGGTGCTCGCTGAACATGAGGATGTCGTCATGTTACGGAGACTTCACATAGGCCAAATGATGACCCGGCTGGAGGCCGATATGCATGGCACGACTTCTTTAATCGGGCCTCGGCGGAAGGTTGGCCTTAGACATCATAATGAGCAAAGGTGAGTCCATCGTTGGCATTATGTTGCCTCCTTCCAACCTAGTTGTCAGCAAATTCTAGGCTGTCGATTGGGATTGTCTCGCGAGGGAAAATGTGAAAAGCTCAGATTTATTCCTCCCTCTCAGCAGTGAGGGCTTTTCTGATTGGAAGAGCGCAGAGGGAGGGCTTGGCTAGGGACATCGTCGACTTAATGAAGTGTAGGCGAACACTGAGTTGAACATGCGTCGTCATGGGAAAGCTGTTCCTGACAGCCCAACGGTCTGCTCTCGATTTAACAAAGAAGCAGGGACTACATATACAGCTATGGCAACTTCCACATGTTGAAGGTTACAAGGAGAAAGCCCCATCCACTCTCTTGGAACGGGAGGTGGGCAGGCACAGATACGGCCTTCCCTTTTCAGCGAGCTACATTTTTGCATGTCTTGCTTAGGAGGAAGGCCTCGGTGGGAAGTGAGCCTTTTCCTGGGATCACGCGGGCTCTCGCTCAAGGCGTGTTTGCGCCGAGCACCTGGAGATCACAGGTTAAGAGAGTTCCTGCCCTGGGCGAGGAAGAGATGTCGGAGTGGACATTTTCCGCGCATACTTCGGGTTGCGCATGGATTGCTTCCATGTCTGACAATATAAGGGTGGAGTTGGCTCGTCGCAGTGCGACCACAGTTGGAGACAGACAACATTTACACGAACAATTCAATTGCCCCAGAGAAAACTCTTCTTCATATCACCGCGCAAGGCGATATATACAATGAAAAGTATGGTTGAAAATCAAAAATTGCCACAGCGATGGCCCCGAAGGACAATCGAGAGAGGTCTACTCCGCGATGTGCAATGCAGGCATCCCTCTCTGCGGTCCGGATTTCTTGATCCCCAGACCGCCCATGAAGGTAAGTATGAAGAAGAGAAAGAGAAAACTGAACAAAGGCGGGAGATTGGGTGGGTTTATATAGGTGTCGGGAGGGCTGCAGAGTGGGTCCACACTGGCCTCAATCACTCGATAGGGTCCTGGCCAGAGACAGCCAATGGCAATTGAGAAAGGGTTGTGATTTTCCATTGGCCAGAAAATTGGGAAGCGGTACGTCCCTGAGGTCTCGAGAGCTCAATTCTCACGTGACACGGCGAACGGTATGGAACCAGACAGGCAGCGACTGGGTGAGTTACGATGTCTGAGACTCGCAGAGATGGGCAGCGCTTTAACAGCAGCAGGCAGACGGTCAGCTGTCAGATTGTCCACCTGTGATTGATAAAAGCAGCCTTGTCTGCATTAATCATTACTGTCCTCTCCCTCATCTCGTATTTACCTATCTAACTTGCTCATTTTATTTGAACTGATACTCCGGAGACCGAGGATCTGTGTTAATAGAGCCTGTAAAGGACAGAGCATCAAAATGGCCCAATGAAGGCTATGAAATCGATTCGGGGAATCATGCATCTGCTCTATCCTACACCCACCCACCTTCCCCTGGGGAACCAAGTCTCCGAACCTCCAGCCAACCCTCCGTCTGGGACTCATCGGTCATCCGTTTTAGCAGCCTAGCAACATCGTGATGCCCATGCTGAGTGGCAATCCCCACCGCAGTCTGGCCGAACCGGTCTTGAACCTCCATAGACGCTCCTTTGCTAACCAGTAGCTCTACAATGTCGGGCTGGCTAAATGTAGAGGCGGCGTGGAAGAGCGGGGTGCGTCTGTTTTTGTCCGGAGATTCTACCTCGGCGCCACTGTCCAGTAGTAACTTGATCAGCTCGATGCTCGCAATCCCCGAACTACACGCCCGAGAGAGAGGACTTCGATCCGACCCGTCAGTCGTATCAAGACGTGCGCCCTTGCGAATGAGAACTTCTGCCATGCCGTGGCCTTTAGATGTAGAACAGGCATATGAAAGAGGGGTGCGGCCATTGTGATCTTGGATTTCGGCTTCCGCATCATGGTCCAACAGCAGTTCGATCAACCCAGTGCTTGCCACTTCTGCTTCGCAAGCCCAGGAAAGTGGGGTCCGACCCTTGGTGTCTCGAGCATGAACCGAGGCTTTCCTTTGGATCAAGAAGTCGGCTACCGCATACTGACCATGACGGCATGCCACACTGAGGGGAGTGAGATTCCCCTGGGTCGGAAAGTCGATAAGTGCGCCTTTGTCGCTCAGCAGCTGCAGCATATCAAGATCGCCACGCATCGCGGCAAAAGATAATGGCGAGTGCCCTTTGGCGTCTATCGTGTCAAGTCTCGTGTCAGGCCTTTCTTCGACCAAAAGCTTGACAATCGATGCTTGGTTTTCTCTTGATGCGATTGCCACCGGTGTCAATGCATCCTCGTCTAACACGTTGATAGACGCGCCGTGCTCTAGGAAGAGACTGACGAGATCCAGCCGGCCTTGGGCTACCGCAAAAGCTAGGGGTGTTCGATGGTGATGAAAGTCACTTCGGGCATCAACATAGGCCCCGCCGAGAAGAAGAGTCTTGGCAGTATCAAAGTGACCAAGCTTGGCGGCTGTAACCAGAGGAGTCTCGTCTGTTCCAAATCGACCGTGCCCCTCGATATACGCCCCATGCTCGAGGAGAGTGCCAGCACCGTGTTCCAGCAACTTTGCAACAGTCACCGGGTACCCGCCTCGGGCAGCAGCGTGTAGTGGTGTCACTTCTGATGGCCTCGAAGGGTTTGCACCTAGCTCCAGTAAACATTCGACCGTCCGATGATGACCTCCGGCTGATGCATAATATAAAGGGGTCCGCCCTTGGGATTGTGGTGAGTCAATTGCATGCGCGCGGCTATGAAAGTGCCTAATCGCATCTGAGATCCCGTATAGTGCTGCTAACTCTATACCTGTCGATGGATAGTCACCAGGAACCATAAGACACAACCTCTGAAGGGTGTGGTCATCTTCAAGGAAGCTGATAACGTCGGATTGAAGTGGTGTCGCCTGTGCTGCGTGAAACCCCCACGCAAAGACTGCGTGCAGGAAAAAGGGGTATTGCCGGTGTAGTTGAGAGAGTGTCAGCCTCGCTTGTATAGCAAAGGTGAGGTATTTGATACAAGTGCTAGTCATATATCCATGGCCCCCACGGAAGTATTGTACTTTCCTCCTCTGAAAATATTCATAAGCTGTATAGTGAACAAGAGTGATTATTCTTCCATTCTTCTCAGTGATGACTAGCCCAGCACAGACGGACAGCATCATATTCACGTCTGGGATGCTTTTGAGGTCGAGCTTCGAATCTTCGAGGTCCACTGCTAGAGCCTGCTGGAGTTCGACGGCTTCGAGTGGTCTGTTTGTGTGCGTGATCCAAGAAATGACCTTTTTAGCCAAATCTTTGTGAAGTTTCTTCTGGTTTTCGATTTTTGTCATAATAGCATCATAGGCCTTGTCATATAAATGATCCTCTGTGAGAGATCGATCTTGTCGAAACTTTTCCAGCGCAGAAAGTATCTTGCGTTCAGAAGTTGCGCCTTGAAGATAACCTACATAAAGCTTAGCAAGTAGAAACCTGTTAAAGATTAGTGAGGAATCGACATAAGGCGAACATCTAAACCATAGCAGCAACTCACATTCCACTTGCAGAACTTGCGACTCGATCCGTGATTTGACGTTCTAGGCCAGGTGCGTTGTCAACAAGATCCTGTATTTCAGTGAGATTACTTCGTGTGTAGCGACGAATGTCTTCTTCGTGGGCTTCGATATCCACGCGAATGTGATTAAAGAGATCTTTCTCGATCCCGGGGAGAGGTCTTGAGGTCACCAATATGTTAATCCTGACCATGGTCTTTGTTTCCAGGCTGGACAGAATTTGTAGGAGACGCGACTGGCAGCTTCTCGGCTGGCACTCATCAAGTGCATCAACAATTATGAAAACTCTCGTGAAAGCTCTGGAGATTCTCTTCAACTCTTGGCGTAGCTCATCGGGCAATGGTCTAGCATCGAGACCCTGGATGGCGTACTTTTGATGTAAGTCTCTCAGACTTTTTGGCCAGCGGCGCGATGACACCCTAGTGAGCAGTTGCTTCAAGAGACTGGAGAGCAGGGTCTCTAGCGTCTGGCTGCTTCGCGTTCTGGATTTGCAATAGAGATATGCGATTCCAACTCCGTCGTCAGCAGTGAACTTAGTGAAGAGATGATCCACCACGACAGAAGTGAGAACGGTTTTCCCGGCCCCGGGAATCCCTGGACAGAACAATGTTATACCCGTCGAGCTTAGCCAGCTTTGATACTCTTCCGACTTGAGAAACCACTCAACCGTGCCTTCTTGTCTTCTGCGAAGAGCATCGCTTTGTTGGAATCCGTACTGGGCACGACTAATCCAGTCAAGCAATTTTTGATCCTTGGCACGTCTCTCTGACTGAATAACCTTCTCATTCATGGTAGATGTCATTTGGTGGACTGATATGAATCAGCTTGATTTCGAAACGAGGTACAGGAGGCGCACGACTTAGACTAACTCTTCTGGAGCTCCTTTCGAACACCTGGCAACTGTTCCAAAGCCGTGGGCGCTTGGCTAACATTCTCAGGCGTTACATACTCCAATAGTTCCTTTGCAAATGCAGCAGCAGAAGCAGCGGCATGCTTATGCCATATGTCGTTCTTGTGAGAATCCGCATAATCGCAGATGCCCCGAATCACGAGACAGGGAAAGTTGTTGACGAGGCCAGCCGCCTCCATCTCAACACAGAGGACATCAGCCCCAAGGTCCTCTTTGAGTTGATCCCGTTTGATCGCATCCTTGATGACACGATTGCCCGACGCGATAAGTCCGTAATGGACTTTCGTTTCCCTAGGTTCCCTGATCCTGATCATGTCTCGGTCACAATTAGGACAGCCTTCCTCCTCATTCTCTTCCTCTTCCTCTTGTTCAGCTTCCAGGATACTTCCGCTGCCACCTTCTCCGTCGCCATTAGCTTTGCCTTCAGCTGTTCTTCTGACGCCTGTAGTGTGGGGATATCCTGTTTTAAATAGTCGGTCTTCACGTTTGTCTGATTTGCCGTACTGTTCCTTGAGGCTTGGGTACCTCTCGACCATCTCTTCCAAATACTGGGCAACTTTGGAGCCCCGAAGTTCATGTCGACTGTCGAGCTTCTGCAAGGCCGTGCTTAGAAGCATCGGGGGGTTGTTCAAAGCACCTTTCCTCTTGAAGGTGCCCCCTTCTTCGTCTTTACCAAGGTCCCACTGTACAACCCCGGGAAACTTGTCTGTCGGACTGCCCACGACGATATCGCCAAGTCTGACTTTGGGAGGTATGCCTCCCCCGATGCCTACCATAAGTCCAAACTTGATAGCCGGGAAAGTCGCGAGCATTCGAGTGGCCACAGTCGCGGCAGGCACGACCCCGTACATGCCTTTTGGTAGACAGGCAATGACGATGTTGTGGCCCCATATTGAGCCGAGAGTGTAAGTATTGTAGTCGTTATTTGCCTGGGGAAGGTTTGGATATTCTTTGTCCAACATTGCTATTGCTGCGGTCTGCTCCTCTGCCAGCGCGCAGATCCATCCTACTGTGTATTGATCATGACGGTAGGTCGCGGGTAGGCTTCTATCGGATAGTCCACGGCTTTCGTTCTTCGTCCTCGCCCGTCCAACATTCGATACATCTGTCATTGTGCCAAACGTGAACTGCGTTTAGTAACTTGTTGAAGATGACTGATCAATTCTCTTTCGAAGGTTTATGAGGTCGCCACAGTGTCGATAGGCCCTCATGGAATCGTTTTTGATCAAAGAGAAGCGAAGTTAAGGTAAAAAGAACTCTGAATTTATGGCATGGGATGACGAAAACCACCCCTTGAGACCCCTACCAAGAGCATCAAGAGAGTGAGGCGAGACGGCGGAGCTTGTTTTATCTGGCGCCTTGCAGCCTAATCTACAAACGCGAATGGGTCGCGTCCACCCATCATGTGAGCTGAGCCAAGGCTTCTAGGCTCACCGAGAGCCTGCATAAGCCACTTTTTTCTCGGTGAGTTGGGCGAAATCGAGCGGCAAGACGCTCTAGTTGCAATTGTCATTCGTGGAATTTGTGCCCGCCACCTGCGCAGATGATAAGATAACTCTTTGAGTCTTGAGCACTCTATAGTCCTCAATGGCGGTTGCACAGTCGTCTGTTGCGTGACATCATAACCTTCTTCCTGTTGACTTGTTGGCTGTCCTCTTTCCAGATTCTGGTGGGAGCCCCTGTCGATTCGATTGGCTCTCGTAAGGGCCTTGTAATGAGGCGTCAGTATCCCCAAGGTAGAATGAACCGTTGTTCATGTGCTGAATTACTGAGTACGGCCTCAGAATGCCAATACTCATTATCGCATAAAGGTCCTTGCGCGAACAACTTTTGTCATACGTTTAATTCACCGATTGAAGATTCTGAGCTTGGTGACTTGATCGGTGATATGACCGTCGTTGATGGAAGTTCTGTTGTGACCAGTGGGCGACGTTTGACACTCGCGTCCTAACGCCAAGACGGAGCTCGCTGCCCAGATTTGACTGACTAATCAACATGTGTAATGGGATTAATGAGCATGCATCCTCCGAAGACGTTGAACGACAAGTTGCATCTCTCAATCTCAAGTCATCTGTGACATTCATCTTTTCCCCCAGGAGTGAGAAAATATCACAATGGACCCCAAGGTCTCGGAGTTGCCAAGGGCCGCCTCCAACGATGCCATGCTATCCGAGCTAACCCCACGTCCAGCGACTGACAAACCCCCAAACAAACCACGGCAGAAGACCGCCAACAGTAGGCGACAGAAGACTTTCACGGGCTGCTGGACATGTCGCGAACGTCATGTCAGATGTGACGAACAGCGACCGGCGTGCCGGCGCTGCGTTGCTGGCAAGTTCGCATGTCAGGGATACGGCACGCGACTGACGTGGCTCTCGTCCACGGGACAAGGAACACCAAAGAGTAGTGGCCGTCGCCGGTCGCGGACGAAGGCCAGCCCTTCGTCACAGAACTTAACACAATTTCCGAGTCAAGAGATGTCTCCAGCTATCGATGTTCAACAGATCGGCTCGTTCCCGGCTTCTCGGTCTTGCGAGTGGCGCCATGGGGTGGAATACTTGGGGCAAGCTGACGGAAGCACTGCGGCGATGAATCAACTGTCTCGAGATGTTCGATCTTCCGGACTGGTAACGGGAACTCCTCAGGAAAGATATGCTACTCAGTGTGACTCATTCGGCGCTTCCAATCAATGGGACACAATGCTCATGGGTAGCCCGACAAGGCCAGTGGAAGCATTATCAAATCCTGCCAGAGAACGAGAACTCATCAGCCACTGGGCGACGAACCTCGCCCACAAGCTGATTCCGATCCGCAGTCCAGCAAACCCGTTCTTAACCGTTGTATCGCCCATAGCCCTCGAGGGAAGCCGCCTCGCCAACACGAGATCGACCTCGACCGTCGCCCTCTTCCACGCCGTCTGCGCCATCTCCGCAGCCCACCAGGCGAACCTTAGAGGCACCCACTCACACAGCAGCTACACTGATCTGATGCTCCGTCACAAACAGCTGAGCTTCCACCACCTCATGCAAAACATGAGCCGCAGAGACCACGACGAGCGAATGGCGAGCTTGGCCACCCTCTGCCTATGGATCCTCACTCACTTCATCACCGGCACCGCAGGCGCCTGGCGTGAGGTCATTAAGGTGACCCGCAACCTCCTCGACGACACGAGTATGCAGACGTGGAGACAGTCAAATACCGCTGCACTGACGTATGAGTCTTTCTCCTCTGCCTTTGCCACGGTCCTTGCCCAGTACCTCGGACGACTTGACGCTCCCGTGCCGCTGAAGACGTATCTGCCAGATGTCGAGCTGTCAAAGAGCCAGATATTGCCGGCGCGAACCCTCGAATTAGTCTCTTCCTTCAACGCAAAGCTTTTGCAGACGCCCGTTCTTGCAGGGGAGGACCTCGACCAACTGGAACTCGAATTCGCCTTGTCTACGCCCGAGCCGTCCGTGGACTACGACACCGGCAATGCGGACTCGGCTATGGTACACCATCACCGGTCATTATTTTACTATGCGTGCCTGCTCTATTTCAAGGGTAACTCCGGGAGGCGAGGCTCAGAGGAGGACGTCCAAGATCTGGTTGCCAGGTGTCTCGACCACATGGAGCATCTCGAGTCCCTTCAGATTAACAGCAGCCCGAAAGCGTGGATTTACGCTGCAGTGGCTTTCGAGGCCGGTACACCGGATTTACGAGAAAGGATGAGATCTCTATTCTTTAGACGAAGGCCGCTCGGGATCGCTACTTGGGATACGGTGTCACTCGCGGTTGAGGAGATCTGGAAACGCCGCGACTTGACCGTCCCCGGTTTGGCACCAGAGCCTTGGACGCGCGTTCTTTCACAGCTGCCTGAGTTTGACGTGATACTGTATTGAGGCAATCCTCTGAGGCTATCTACATCTTTCATCTGTTTTCGAGAAACACTTGGAAGGTTACCCCCTAAACAATAACCTCAGGATCCTTCTCGACCTCAGCCAGCAACTCTCTCGGCCCCCTGAACTTGATACCAGAAAAGTACTTTTCGCGATGAGCGGCAACCTTGTCAACAGGCAGGTCCCCAGCGCGACTGGCCGAGAAGATGCCATACTCCGCAATAATCCGCTCCTCGCCATTCGGATCCGGGTTGGCAACGATATCCTCAATGTACTCAGCCAAGCTGCGATACTTCACGCTCATCTGCGGATACTTCTCCCTCATCAACGGCACCACCTCGTTCCAGGTCGCCTTTCCTCCCGAAATATACGTGTACCGCTCCCAGCTCTGCGCAAAGAGGAGCTTTCCCACCGCGCGAACCACGTCCCGGACGGCAGTCATATCCAAGGGCTCGTTGCCGGTTCCAGGGATCAGCATTCTTTCACCCGCAACATTGACGGGAATGGCGTCCCCGCCATCATTGAGGTAGCGGTTCCGACGCGGGACGACATAGTCGATAAACCAACCAGTCGAGAGCAGTGTCCACTCCAGCTCCGTCTGCTCCTCCAGCATCTTTCGGACAATCCCCTGTCGACGGGCGTAGAAGCCCGGCTGGTCGGGGAACTCCTCCAGGTTACCGCCGTACTCGGCAGGGATGAAGCGCTTGCATGTCTTGCTCTTTCTCGCCGCCTCGATGAGGTGCGCGTGAACATCGATAAAGGCTGGGGAGTAGTTCAGGATATTAGACACCAGGGTGACAGAGCCTTCGATGCCCTCGATGACCGAGGCGACAGAGTAATCTGTTACGAACTGCCGGACGCCCTGGATGTTCTCGAGCTCGGACTTGATGGAGCGGGTTAAGATGACGAGGTCGATGCCCATCGCGGGGAGTTCTTCTGCGAAGTAGCGGGTTACGGCACCCGAACCAGCGATGGCGACACGCATTTTGGATTTGGGGGTTGGTGGGTGGTTGAGAAGGGGAACAGTGTTATTTGAGAGGAAGAGGAAGACAATGATGTATCTATATGGTTGTGAAGCTGTAAGACTGTTGATGCTCTACATCTTTTGGTCATGAAGAGGGCTAAAGCCGTCCTCTTATACTTGCTCTAGCCCGCCATCAGGTGGTTGAGTTGCCAGATGAGGCAGATCCATCGATCAGCCTCCGGGATCATCGACAAGAGCCTGAGGTCTTAGAACTGACATAATCCTCCACGTTTATAAGCAGAATTATTGTCAAGCCAAAGCCAAATCATCAATGTAGACAACGAAGCCGACGATGTCATGGACAGCCCGTGTTGATCTGCAGATCACTTCCTCATTGGGCAGTTCACAGCGAGCTCGCTCTTGGCGCCAAACCCGCTGGTTAAGCTGGCCAAACGACCAAAACCAAGCATCTCAAGACAGGCAGCAAAATCCCAAAGAAGAGTGACACGGCTCAATATTACATGCACGGTAGACTCAGCGTGTGGTAGCTTGTGATCAAGGCATGGGGTATTACTTCCGATTGTTCTCCGCCAACAAAACTGCTGTCCTCGAAGGTCTGGTATATGTACAATGCGGACCAGAATGATGAAGCAGAGCCAAAACAAAACTTGTGACAATTTCCTTCTCCAGAGTGACTCGAACCAGAGTCATACTCCCGTCCAACAACCTGATATCTGCAAATGAAACCCAAAACGCCATAACAGGGTAATGCCTCGCTCACAGTACAAGCATCAAGTCATGCCATGATCCTAACCCTGAATGCCCTCCCAAGTAAGTTGGTCAGTGATGTCCCTGACACTCAATCCGGTGATACTGAAGACAGTCACGTCGAGCTCTTCATCCGTCATATCCTGTCCAACTTGTTTCTGTCCTTCGAGCACATCGTAAAGTGCGTATAATTGGCCGTTCTTGACCTCCTGCGCGTTCATATTGGCGTCAATATTTGTCTTGAGCTGCTTGCGCTTCGTCTCCGCCAGAGCAGGGTTGTGATTATCGTATCGAGCCTGCATCTTGGCATGCTCCATCTTCATGTGCTCTAGCTCATCCTCGAGGCCCTTGATGACCTTAGCCAAAGCATGTCCAGGAGGCTGAGAAGGACGCATTGTCAGGTCTTCTGCGGCACTGCCCAGCGTCTTATACTGATCTGAGGGAGCAACGGGTCTGGAGATCTTCACTCGCTTCTTTCCCTCGGCAATGTCGGCAGCAGTGACCGTTCCACGATGTGCCTTGATCCGAGTGCACACAATGCAGTTCTTACAGCTGTGTCCGGCCAAGCTATCCAGGACACGGCGAGCATCCGAGGTCAGAGCGGGACAGTTGCCCTTGACGTCAGTGGTCGAGGTGTGGTCTAGCCCGCCCTGAGTAATCAAATCGACGGTGATGGACTTGTCCTTCGAAGGCTTTGTGGCAGACTTGGATGACTTCTGGCTTTGGCTAGTCAAGTTCCGGGTGGTGTTGGTTGTTTCTTGGTGAACAGTGCGAGACTCCTTCTTGCTCTTCGTCTTCAGGTCGATCACCATGGAGTGAGTCTGGGTCTGGGTGTGCTCGGGTGATTGCATGTTGCCCTCGTCATCGGCCTGGAACGGATCAAGATCGGGGAGAGAAGCCCCCTTGAAGGAGCTCTTGGGAGTGGATTGGGCAGAGATGCTCCTTTTGCTACCCTTGTTCGCAGTGTTGGAGGCCTTACTGCTCTTTTCCTTCGTGCTCTTGGATTTGGAACTCGCTGCCAGTCGCTCGGGCAGAGAGAAAGACACCTTCTGCTGACTGGTCGAGTCCTGCGCGCGGTGGGTGGAGTCTCGTCTCTTGGACCGGGCCTCAGCTGCGACAGAACTCTGTTGACTCTGGACAGTGTTGTCAAGCTCATTTACACTGCGATCTGTCTGCTCTGTGGTGTCCTGAATCTCGGCAGCCTTCCTGCCTGGTGTCGCTTGCCTCCGGATCTTCTTCGGTTCTGGAGTGAAATCAAGAACCCTCGAATTCTGTGTGCTGTCAATCGTAATGTCCGGCATGAAGAACGCCGAAGTCATGTTCTCCTCAGTCTCGTCGTCAACTTCCTTATCCAGACGCACGGAAAAGTCATCCGTCTTCCTGAGAGGGCGGCAGTGGTCGAGCTGCTGCTTGAGGAACTCAATCTCCTCCTTCAACTGCATGTTCTCGTCGTGAAGGTCGTGAACGCTGCGCTCGAAACCCGAATTTTCGCGGCGAAGTATCTTGTTCTCGTTGAAGTATTTCTCGTTGTGTCGAACGAGGCTATCGTTGTCCTCCTTGAGAGTGGATTTCTCCTGATCCATGGTGTGAAGATCAACCTGCAAGGCCTCGACTTCATCACGAGCCGCCTCGAGATCCTCCTTGGCGTTGGTCGTGGTTTGACGCAGCTCCTCATTCTCAGACATGAGCGATCGCGCATTGGCCCTCAACGACCTGTTCTCGCTGATGAGAGATTCTTGCTCGCGCCTTAGAGAGTTGTTGTCGGTTCGCAGAGACTCCATTTCTTGCTGCAGAGTTTCCTGTTCCTTGCGAAGGGTATGGTTATCTTCCTCAAGAGCCTTGTTGTCGGCGGAGCGGACCTCGTGGCCTTGCTTCTCCTGACGGATAACTTCTTGCTGGTTGGTAAACTCCAGAGTGGCGTTGAGCTTATCTTGGGTCTCGTGGAGTTCTCTTCCCTTGATCTCGAGTTGATCCATGAGATCGCCGATTTGCATACAAGCGTCTGAAAGCTTCTTCAAAGCCCGGTCTCGCTCCAAAGACAAGGTGTTATTTTCGACCTCGTTAATGCCGAGCCGGGTGCTTGCCTGGTCCAAGCGTGCTTGCAAAGATGTCACCTGCGACTCCAACTCTGTTACTGGTTAGATGGTACTTCAACAAGGTGTCTAACGATACTTACTCAGCTTCTGTGTCTGGTAGCGCTCCTCGCCAGCTGTCTCGGGCTCCGAGCCTGTCCGGGATCCGAGGGCACTATCGATAGACTTGCGGCCCTTGATGCGCTTCAATTCGGTCTGGAGATGGTCCACCTGATTCTCGAGTTCCACTGCATGCTGCTGAACCAAATCATCATGCTCCTGAAGGTTGCAAATCTCGTTCCGGATCATATCCATCGACACGAAAATCTTCTCTTCATCTTCGGGAATCGCAAGGCCGTCAACCTCGGCATGATCGTTAGGCGGCAGGGTATCAATGCGGTCCCGCACTTGCCCGTTCTTCACGAAGACGGGGACACCATTCTTCACTGCACCGTTGAAGCGCAAGTTGCCGGAAATGAAGTCGTTAAGGTGAGAGATATCGGGCATGAAGAAAGAGCGGGACGTGGCGCCATTCTGTGCCGGGCTATCGGTAGTGGCCGGCGAAGGGAACGTGCTTCGAATCGTGTTGAATGTGACTGGGGTAGACTTGTTCGTAGGAACGTTCTCGGCTGGGGTATGCTTCGGCGTGGCTTGTGTGGGGGGTGCCAGGAAGTCTGACTTCCGTCGGTCTGTGTTGGCGGCGTAGGAAGATCGTCGTGCTGACTTGTGGTTGCCAGATGCTGATCGAGCGTGGCCTCTTGCCAAGGGACTACGGCCCATCTGCTGTTGAGGGTTGAACTTGAAACTATCGGCATTGATATCGAATCGGAAAGGTGACTTGGAAATGTTGGCTGACATGTCAGACTCGTTGTCCTCGACGCGGGGCTGCATTTCAGCACGCGTCCGCTTAGAACCCTGCCAAGTCATGTCCGTCGAGTCATCGTCGTCCATGTTGGACAGATACTTCTGGACGATAGCCTTGTGGGAGACGGTGTCCTTGTGACGCAATGAGCCCGTGGGCTTGGGAGCGGGACGGTTCTGTTTTGCTTCGACGTTGGCCTTGGGCTTGCCATAGAATTCGGGCCACTTGCGGTGGGCAGCATCCAAGTCGACTTGAATCTTCCCACCGGTAGGACCGATGATGCGAGCAATATCCTCGTTGAGCCTGCGGGTGGATTCTCCGTCGGGTTCTGAGAAGACGGAGGACATGGTTGGGCTGACGGTGCCGTGGGAGCCCGTCGATGAAGGCGGGGAGTTGAATGGGTTGTCGCGGTTTGCGTTCATTTCCCGCAGAATGCGAGAGCGGTAGCGGTTGTGTACTGAGTCGGCCTCCATGACTGCCCTGGGACGCGTCGGGCGCGGTTTCCGGGACGGGAGTCGAGAAGAAAAAGTAGATTCACGATGGCGCCGCAATGGCTGGAGGCGACGCGCCGAATAGCCAATGTCGCGGGGACAATTAGATGGTAAGACTGAATAGAAGCAATACCGAGCAAGAGAAAGCTGCTCAAGGCATAGAAGCGCGCAAAATGGCTAGACGAAAGACAGAAGAAGCTGTGATGTATGATGAAGTTCACAACCGCAGTAAGTGATGGAGAAGGAAGAAGCGTGGAGGTGCAGGGATTGGTTTGTTTACTTTCGGAGCTGCAGGCGTAAACAATTAGCGATTGGCCGTGGGCGTCAGTGCATGTTAGTGGGGCAGCCCTGCCTCCCCAGCCCAGCTCAGTGCCCTTGCTGATGGAAACGCGTGCTGGTTGGCCTGCGCGGAACAAAGAAACGCGCTCTTTTGTACGCACGAGACGGCATTCGAAAACCGTGAAGCCCAAATCGCAGAGGGTTTTGATACCCGACAATTTTGTGTTTACGCCGAGGTTTTGGCAAACAGACATTTTTCAGTTACAAATAGGCATGGCACCGGGACTGTAAGGCAATTAAGGCAGGACACTCGGTTATTTCTTGTCCATGTCATTACGTCAGCCATCATTGACTTTGCCAAGGTGAAGAGACACTTCCGCTTCCACTCACCGAGCGGCGAGCATTCGTCGCTGCCCTTCACCTGGATTAGGCACACTACCGTAGGTATGGATAAGTACCTAGGTAAGATGGTAAGGCACGTGGTAGGCACCTTGCCTAAAGTTTCCGCTAATCGTGCTGCTGAATAAGACATCGACGTGAGGAACGGGAAGACCCCTCCTTGACTTCTACCGCTCACACCAAATGTGATTTAGCAGGTTGGCGCAAGGTGGTTGAGACAGATTCTTGCACGGTCGAGCACATCTCAACGCATGTCCAACAAACCGACTCAGTCCGTTTCACCCTAGCGATGCATTCCCCGACTCGCCCAAGCACTCACGGCACTCTTTAACGGCCCTCGTCTTCCATTCCTACCTCAACGTCAAGTCCCATGACCCGAGACATTTCATCTGTATCTTAACTAGATACTTACTTTAGTCAGGGAGACGTTGTTTCGATGTTGAAGAGTCTCTATATCCGCCTATATCTGCTTGGGATATGACTGCTCTTGGTCCTGTCCGTGAGCACAAGACGCGAGTCACCAGGTCCACTAAGTTGGTCGTCAGATATCGGCGGGTGATCATGCCGACTGCGGGCGGTGCCGTGCCATCGTGGGCGTCGGTTTGGTTTCCTCCCACCGCCGAAAAGGCTGGGGATCGTGGAACAGTTCATGCACAGTTAGTCTTGTGCATGGTGCGTATTGCTTAGTAGGACAGCCATACGTATCAAGGATCCTTCCATATATCTAGTGCGTAGAATGTTCTTTGGACACATGACTATCACTGCGACAGACGGGAGATACAGAGGCAAGGTACACCAGATTGTTTGCTGCAAGTCTTCTTCATCGGGTCCAGGGCAGTGAGGGCAGTGACAGACTGACAGGACAGAGCGCAGGGTCTTGGCGCCGCCAAAATGCCCCGCATGAACTTGTTCTAGTGGCCGCCACATCTCCGAGGGATGGTGGACGGCGGATGGATAGTGGGAGGAGGGGAGGTGACCACCACGCACCGCTTGCACCACCCACTTCTGTCAGTTCTGTGACCTCTCGGTGCGCCATTCTGCGACCACTAGAGTCTTGAGGGGACTCTGAGGGGTCCATCTGCCTCGTGCAGGTGGATCTTTTTTTTTCCAAGGTTCTCCTGCGAAAACGGGCTTGGCTTGGCCCTCGACTCTGGGCCGCCCATCGCCAAAGAGCCCTGCGCCATCGCTCGCTTCCTTCCCGCGGTTCGCCCGGCCGCCGTTTGTCTTGCTCTTCCCCAGCTTTTCCACTGGCCTGCTTCCCGTGTTGCTGCTTGCATCGCATCGTCCCTTCGCATCTTCCCTCGTCGCGTGCCCTCTCTCTTCAAGTTCGCCTATTCATTGTGCATATTATCATCACTGAAATCCCGCCTCGGCGATTGCGAAGTCCTTCTGAACATGGCAGAGCGCTTCTATACATGAGCGGCCTTTTCCAGAGCTGATTGCTCGCCACCATACACCGAGCTGTCTTATCCTTGTATTTTGATACCAATTCTTCCATCATGGTTCGATCAATCCTCCGACTACCCGAGGCTTGCCTCTCAGGGCTTGCACTGGCTTCGTGCGCAACAGCCCTTGTTGCGACTCCGAATGCGCCCAAGACGTCTTGCCCCATCTTCTATGCCGAAACCCAGCCTCCGACCGATTGCGAACCGAAACAGCCCACGAGCTTTTTAGAAAACCCGCAGGTTGAAAGGAAAGCTACCGCTTATACGGCCAAAGCCAAAGACGAGCCGCTCGAGGCCACCTTTGAAGCTCTTACTGTAATGCAACATGACTTCTTCGTATCGGATCAGGGAACATGGCCCGAAGCCATCGACTGGACTGCGGCCGTCATGGAAACAATGTTGTCTGGATCGTTGACTTCGCTTTCGCAAGCATTGGCCGTACTCGATTTCGGAGGCAGTGGTGATAAGGGAGCCAAAAGAAACCTCATTGATACCTTCTTCACTCAACTAGTGGCCTCATATTTTGGCCAGGACGACGTTGCGATCCGCCATCAGGTGTGTCTCCGGCCCCCATCAACGTTAGCCCGAAGCAGCGCATGCTGACAAGCACATAGGCTTTTGACGATATTCTTTGGGTTGTCCTTGGTTGGATCGATGCCATCAAGTTTATTGACATACATTCAGAGCTCTTCTATCACCGGGACGGCCTCAACGAGAGCGCAACGCCGGGCCTGGGAGATGCTTTGGCAAACGGGCCCTGGCATGGGCAATACTGGATACCCTCGTTTGCTCACCGAGCTAGAATCTTCTGGGACCTTGGATCTAAGGGGTGGGATACACGACTCTGCGACGGCGGTATGAACTGGAACCCGAGGTTGGAGCCCTACAAAAACGCCATCACGAACGAACTCTGGATTGCGGCCTCGATCTCAATGTACCTCTGGTTCCCTGGTGATAACAACACCACGCCATGGATCAACCGCGCCAGTGGTGTAGAGGCCACGCGAGAGCCCAAGTACCTCGCCGCTGCCATCGAAGGCTACAGATGGCTCACTGGCGTCAACATGACCAACCATGCCGGCCTCTATGTTGATGGCTATCACGTTGATAGGTCCAAACCGGGCAACACTAAGTGTGATCAACGCAGTGAAGCTGTCTTCACGTATAACCAGGGGGTGCTCTTGACTGGTCAAAGAGGCCTATTTGCCGCCACAGGCAGTGCTTCTTACTTGGAAGATGGGCACAGGCTGATTCAAAACGTCGTCAAGGCCTCAGGCTGGGATTTGAGGCTCAACCAGCCAGTTGATGACCTGTCAGAGCTCCCTCCGGGCTACTTGCCTCCCTGGCGAGGCCTGGGCCGAGGAGGCGTCATGGAAGAAACCTGCGACGCTAGCGCGACTTGCTCTCAGGACGGGCAAACCTTCAAGGGCATCTTCTTCCATCATTTTGTAACATTTTGCCAGCCACTCGACGCTGCCATTGTTGAGCGCGGCATGACTGTTAACGCAAAAGCGTACGACCAGGTCAAGGTGACCCACGCATCGGCCTGCCAGGCCTATCTGAAATGGGTTGAGCACAATGCCAAAGCGGCCTTGTTGACTAAGGATAGGGAAGGTCGGTTCGGTACGTGGTGGGGAGCAGGCATTTTCCTGAAAACCGCGCCGACAATGCAGACGGACGGTATTCCACACGGCGCACCCAACGTGACCGATTACCGCAACTACGGGTTGCCTGATGACGGCGTTTGGGCCCATGGTAACCCGGACAAGGTTTGGGCTCCTAACGGCAAGGCGCTCAAGAAGCAGAAAAGGAGCTACGTCCTGGTCAGTGACGAGGAACACTCTGGACAGCAGGTTCTGGGGGGTTCTGGCCGACAGGGATCTCACGGAGTGAACGAGGAAGGATCCGACCGGTATATAAAGACGACAGCAGCGACCGGCGACCCGAACGACCGCGGCCGGGGTAGGACTCCGGAGACGCAGAACGGCGGAATGGCTTTGATGCGGGCCTGGTGGGAGCTCGTAGCGGCGTCCAATGGAACTTACGACTCATAGCGGCAGGAGAGACGACGATGAAGATATGCATGATGTGAGTTTTGGCTACCTAAGGTACTTAGCTATTTGCCCTTTTTGGCCTACGAGTATAGACGAAGAAGTCCTTTCCTGTATGTACGCACGCATGGCATAGCCGCCGGCCGGTTACGCCGGCCTTCCTTTTGAACACTCCTGCTCTATCTTCTCGTTTCTCCGCATTCGCATTTCATAGCATCGTGGTCGAGAATGCTTGTTTGCTCCACCGGAGACACCGTGCTCGATGAAGCACCATTCATCCTACCCTGCTACCTTACTTTCCAGGATGTCTTACCCACGGGACGCTATCAAGACTACGACTGCTGCGCCGTACCTGACTACGCTAAGAACGTACCGACCCAGCCATCATTGGTCGCTTAGCCGAGTGCGAAAGATGCTGACATGCTTACATCCCCCCCTCTCATCACGCAGCAGCTCCATGGCGTGGCTGCTCAGCCATCCATCTAGGAGTTTAAGGAGCGCAGGAGGCTAAGTAACACCTCGCACCTTTGATCGAAAGAGGCCCGGGGCTCGCGAGGGCTGCTTCGAGTGGTTGACTTGGGCGGATCCGGCAGGACGGTGCCGGGACTGCCCCACATGGCTGCCGTGGCTTGGCAGGAGATTCGCTGCTGGACGCTACGCCAGAACGCCGTGCGCCTCCTGGGCTTTGGGGAACGCTTTCGAATCGGTTTCCCAATGGGGGAAGAAGCTTGGAGGCCGTCGGTGTGGGCTTGTGGAAATCGAGATGGGGATGATGGGTGTTTGTCCCCCCTCTTGCTTGTTATTGTCCGTGGAGGGAATACGGTATAAAGGCTGGGAGGGTTCCTGACGGTTTGGGGTTTGGTATTTGGGCATCGGAAGCATCAAGCATCACCAAGCATCATCATCAAGCATCGAACAGCAAACTTCAAGGCTCTTTGTCTCGGATAGACCAACACATCTAGATATATTATTGAAGCATTTCAACACATCTCCATCTACTATCCATCAGTTCAATAACTCAACAACAACATCAATTGGTTTTACCAAACCTTAAGAGTTCTTAGCCTCAACTTCAACTTCGAAAGTAAACACACCACACAATGGGTCTCATCACCGGCCTCGTCTCAACCGTAGTCCACGCCGCCGCCGGCCGGAACCCCTACAGCCACAACCACAACAACCAATCCCCCGTCACAGCCCCCGGTGCGGCCCCCGGTGCCCCCGATTCCGCCGTCACCGGTCTCCACGAGGGCCACAACCACACCGGGCCTGACGGCCAGCCCTGCGGCATCTGCAAAGTCGCCCTCCCCTTCGGCAAAGGCCGCGAGGCCAAGCGCGAGCGCAGGGCCGCGAGAGACGAGCGGAAAGCCGTCATCTACGCCATGAGGGCGCAGCAGCGCGGTGGGAGAAGGGGACGGTATGGGTATGATACTGCTGGGTTCATGGGTGTTGCTGCTGGGCCTTATCAACAGCAGCAGCAGCAGGGATACTTCAGCGGCGGCAACAACAGCAACAACATCTCCCGCGCCGGGCCGTCTTCTGCTCAAGAGGAGGGCGTTGGGGAGAGGAGGCGGGCTTCTACGGGGGATGATGTGCCGCCGCCTGCGTACTCTGTTGCTGGACCTTCGTCTGTTAGTGTTAGGAATGAGGCGAGTCGGAGTGTGGAGGTTTTGGGGAATGGTGATGAGAAGCAGGGACAGAAGGCTTAAATGCCTAGTACGGTTTCCTTTGTGCAATGAGGTAGAGCGAGCGCGGCGTTAGGATACCTTTAGACGGCCTGCATATCATCTTTCTGATTCGAAATCACCGTTTTTATTTGACTCTTGGTCTTTGTCTAATTCACAGATGCTCGGATGCTGTCGTGACGAATGCTGATGTACAATTGGGGCTTTATCTTTCCTCCATACCCCATCTTAGCTCCCTTAACTTTTGTGCCAAGACCTAGAACCTTTACCCTGGCAAGGCATTGTATGAGCTGGCAAGCAGCCTTATGGCGTTTGCCCGCTGGCTTGCCTCTCACCCAAACTTCTGTGGATGGTCGTGCTTTGTTCTTTGAGAAAATGCAGTACTCCTACGAGCACGTCATTTACCGCTGACCGGAGAGACGACGGCTCTGGACCTCGCCGAGGGCCTTGGTGCCGCTCAGGAAGATGGAGGTCGCGACGATGGCGACGGCAGGCAGGGTCTGGAAGAGGGTCCAGGCGCTGTAGTACATGAAGAAGACGCCCTCCATGGCAACGATGGATCCGAAGAATGCGACGTGGGAGAGAGGCGCGGCGCCGAGGGCCTTTTGGATGTGGTTGACATTGGCGCCGAGAGTGAGCCACTACAGGATGGGGATGTCAGTCAATGTAACATCCCAATGTTACAGGACACACTGGTCCTTTCCAATTGGAAAAAGAAACATGAGAGGGACGACTACTTACACCAATGAGAAGAACGGGAATCGTGGCCAGAACGGCAATGACAAAGGCCAGCGAGATGATCTTGGGAGGGCTGCGGGGGTCCTCGCGGAAGATGTGGCTGATCTCAGGCTGCTTGCCGTAGCGGAGGGGAGCGTCGTAGGTCGGGGCGGCGGCGCTGGCGTCGCGGGCCACGGAAACGTCGAAGAGGGTGGTTTCGAGGGCCTTGGTGGCGCCGAAGGAGCCGATGACGATGCTGGCCTTGAGGGGCTCGTTGGCGAGGAGGAGCTGGACGGGGAGGTCCTTATGGGCCTGTTGTAGTCCATGAGAATTAGCCTTGTTGCTTTGCCATTGAAGATTCAGAGAAGAATGGGGGAACGTACAATGTCGACGACGCCGCGGCCGGTGTCCTTGAGCTCAAGGGGGAAGGGGGCCTCGAGGCCAGACTCGGTCTCCTTGAGGATCAGGAAGGCCTGGTGCGGGCGCTTGGCCTTGTCGCCCTCCTTGGCCGTCAAGATGACCTTGAGAGTATCCTTGGCTCCCAGAGAGAGGGCAGTCTTGAGGGGAGAGGTCGCGCTCAACCTGTTGGGCGGGCAATTCGTCAGCAATTGAGGTTCTCTTGCACCAAGGCTTCCTTGTTTCCTCCTTCCCACCAGAGCTTCCAGAAAGCGTAACTTACTTCTCCTTGGTGGCATCCTTGCCCTTGCCAGTGATTGAGACGGTGGCACTGTCGAATCCCCATGATGAGGCGGCCTGCGCGGCACCGGCCGCGAACAGCGCGAGGGCTGGCGTCAGGGAGTTGAGGAATCGCATTGTGCTGCTGAAGGTGCTTGTCTGTGGCAGCTTTAGCTTGAGCTTGGGAGCTTCACATCACAGGCAGTTCACTTATGGACAGCTTTCGTGTCCATTACGAACTACCGACGGTGCACGGTCCATCTATAGCGGGACCCTGCAGACTGTGCAATCGTTGTTAGCACAGTCTCCTGCACAGTACAGACAACGGCCTTCTATTCTCACGCATTGATTACCTCGAATACCTTCGACACTTTCAGGAGAAATTACCATTGGATCAGCCTTGAGGTCTGTAATCTGATATAGGTACGATGGCTGATGCTCGCTTATTCAAAGTAAACAATAGGTGATCTTGTTGCAGCGAATCTCCCATTGAAGACATATTGAAGTGGAAAATGACACGCTGCCTGTTCAAGGCCATGCAACGAACTTGTTACGATGAGATCTCGAAACCAAAGCGCTATCTAAGTATACGGTCTACATGCATCGCTTCGAACGGCAAAAATCATAGTTCGTCTTTGACGTCGCTAGACTCGCTAGCAGCCTCACCCTCTATCTGCTTGGGCAGGTGCTCGTCCAACTCCATCCACTCTGCCGCGAAAACCGTCAGGATACGCGCCCAGTCCCGTACTGTTGGCAGGTCTAGGTGGGCACCGTCATCCTCAATCTTATGCCACACGTCAGGGAACGGCGTGGGGATAATGTGCAGGATCTCGACACCCCGCTGCAAGAACGGCACATGGTCATCCAGAACATAACCACCGCCGAAGCCGACCTTCTCTTTGTTCCGATCCGTCAGGAATGGGTGTTTCGGCTTGGTTTCGAGGACATCTAGTTGGCGCATGCGATGTTCAATCTTTGCCATCTTCTTATAGGCCCAGTGGGTGGAAGGGAAGTAAGATGGTATCCGGGGATTAGGGGCGCCCAGGAGATCGATGAGAAGGAAGAGGCTAATGGACGAAAGAGGAGTCTTGTATAGGCCATCAGGGTGAACGGAGTCTTCCCAGCTCTTGGCGAGCGCCCTAGAGGACGTTAGACAGACATACTAGTCATGCAAAGGTTCAACCAACATACCTGGCTCCATAGAGCGAATCCGTGTCAGTCCATGACACCCACGCCTCCTCTCCGTCAAGCAGAATGATCTGGACTCCCTTCTCCTCTTCGAGCCCGCTCCCAGCGTCACCCGAGGCCTCCATCGCCTTCCACTTCTTTACCAGAGCCTCTTCAATGTTCCTCGCCGCGTGCAGCAGCATCGCGCAAGGCGCTGCACTGTCAATCGCCCCAATGAACCCTTCCGGGTGGTACAAACTGTCATAGTGCGCGACGAGCGTCAGATACTCGACGTCTCCGCCCTTGGCCCACGGAGGGTCGCGGCGGAAGATGAGATTCGTAAAGGGTATCTCCTTATCTCCGGTCGCGGGCGTCTTGGACGTTGAGTTGTGCCAATCAATAATCCACTCGGGCAGGTTGGCGCGGAAGAAGTCGACAAAGTGTTGCTGCACCTTGAGCGAGCCCGGGGTGCCGGGGACGCGGGGGATGAGGATGGGGGCCAGTAGCGCGCCGGTGTCGATGTTGAAACCGTCGCCACCCGAGGGGATCGCGCGAAGGGCCTCGTCGCCCAGTTCGGTGTAGGCGGTCGTGGGGGTGAAGAGCGAGCAGAGGACTATGAGGATCGACCCGACGAGGGGTAGCTTCGGGAGGGAGTTTAGAAGACCCATTGTGGTGACGGCGGCCAGGTCGGGCGCAGCAGTCTCATGCTGCTCTGGGACGTGATTCTGGATTGTTCGATAGGTAAGCGCCCGACGGCTTCTCTTTGCGCAATTTGTTCAGGTTGCGACCGCCGCCATGTTGGGCGGGGAGAAATGTGTTCTGTCAAAGACCCTGAGATGCAATGCGACTCAGGTCCCACGAGGTCCCCGCCGAGTGGTCGGGGCATAGAGTGGTCGAGGTGGAAATATGCCGAGGGAGGCTCCACCCACGGAGCCAGATCCACCGCTCCGCACGCCGCCTGGGAAACGCTAGAGGAATTCCGGGGTTTGGGTTGTCAACATTACACTTGACACACGACACCGGCACGCAAGGCCAAGCCGTCGTCGCAAACATTCTTCAAGGTATCTGATCAACATCAGCTCGCAAAAGGCTGGCTGACAACGAGGTCCAATCATCGAAGGACCTAGTCTTAGCCTTAGTCCATGACCACCTATGCACTCCAATCTCCAACGGATGGACCACATCGCCTATCCCCGATGGTCGGCATGTTCTCCACAAATCCGTCGGCGTTAACACCTAACGTCACTTACACTGAAGACCATCACGGAAACATCGCTTGATCATTGATCACAGTCTAAGCCCTCAAGTTGGACTAGCAAAAGGCCTTGCGGTATGGAACCTTTGGCATCACTTGGCATGGACCTATTGACCCTAATCTCCGCGTCGTACAGGTCGTTGATAGGCCACTGCCGTGCCTCTATCGCCGAGTGGCTTGAGTGATGGTCGAGTTCTATGGATCTGACATGCAGGAGGATGATTGCCCTCTCTCGGTGACAGAATAATCGAAGAATACTTGAGATATTCAGATGAACGGGCTATAAGAGACAGAATGTTTCTGCTTCTATTGAGGTTCTGTGGCTCATTGTCATCGACCAATTAGAACATTAACAACATCTTTCTTGATCACAATATAAATCTTTACAAATCTTCATCACCTTTGATACTCCATCGAATTCCCCCTTACTACTGAAACCATAAAACTTCACATTCACAATGGATTCCCCAGTCTGGTTCATCACTGGCGCCTCTTCAGGATTCGGACTTGCCATCGCCAAAGAAGCTCTTTCTCGCGACCACCGCGTCATTGCAACCGCCCGCAATACAGCCAAGCTTTCTGACCTTGCCTCCGCAGGCGCTGATATTCTCCCCCTGGACGTCACCGCCACCGAGGCCACCATCACAGAGACGGTCAACAAGGCCTTCGCCCTTCACGGCAAAGTGACGCACGTCATCAACTCCGCCGGCTACATTCTCGAAGGCACCATCGAGGAGGCCAATGCTAAGGAAGTCTTTGACCAGTACAACACCAACGTCCTCGGCACTCTCAAGGTCTCCCGCGCAGTTGCTCCCCACCTCCGCGCCCAGCGCTTCGGTGCCGTTATCAACATTGGCAGTCTCGGCAGCTGGAAGAGCGGCCCGGCTTTTGCCATGTACTGCTCTACAAAAGCTGCCGTCAGCCTGCTCACCGAAGGCTTCCACGACGAGCTGAAGCCGTTTGGTATTGACGTCTGCATCCTTGAGCCGGGCTACCTCCGCACCGGATTTCTGAATCCCGGCGCCCGCATCAAGGTTGAGCAGTCTGTCCATGCGTATACCGAGAGCACTGCGGGCCAAGTCAGGAAGCTGTTGGAGACTGTCGACAACAACCAGCCTGGTGACCCGATGAAGGGTGCGCGGGTGGTCGTGGATGTTCTGACCAAGTCTGGACTTGCTGAGGGCCGTGAGATCCCTCAAAGGCTGGCTCTGGGCACTGACTGTCTCGCAGTCATTCGCGAGAAATGCAAGGGCACCATGGCTCTTCTTGATGAGTGGGAGTCGATCTCCGCTTCGACCGATTTCTAGAGTCTAGGTCACCCGATGGGCTCTCCAGAGGTTTATGGGTTGGTTATCAAGACGACAGCCATGGTGGGAGCCACAAAGAGAGGGCGTTCTAGCATGCGATTTTGGGATCACTACCTTTATTCAGTTTACCAAATGCCGCCTGAATGAATCCATGTCCCTTTGCAATTCCCCAGCCGGAATACCTCATAATGGTCGCTGATATTGAGTTGCGCATCTTCTTGAAAGTCCTATAGCTGATACTTCAATCTTTTTGGTGTGTGGCATGAGGGTTTTGTGAAAGAGAAATGCGAGCTTGGGACAAATTGAAGCTCTATCTTGTATCTTATTTGTCGGGACGGTGGAAAGCTACCAGATGACGCTGAGAAGTTGCTTGGCGAATGCTTATTTCAAAGCTTATACACGTTTACACCATCAACATCATGCACCTCATGACTCACGTAAAGCATTTGATGGCCCTGTACAACGCCTGGAGCGACGGACCAGACCACTCGAGATCAACGACTGGTGGCCAACACGGCAATCTCAAGTAAGACATGATCACAAAAAATGCCCAACGATTTCTAAACAGTCTGGAAAGAATATGGAGGCAAATAACATTGAATTCGGACCATCTATCCTAAACCACAAAGCCATCTCAACACCGCAAGTGAACCTGATGATTTCGGACACCGTAAATGCTCATGTGTGTCTAGCCCCAGATCTCGCACTTTGAATGGCAAACGGTAGAAACGCGCCCGACGGAGTATTGGAACAGCCCGCCCATGCTACGAACGGGACCAGGCTCGCAGTACACGCCCTCAATCGCGGCGTCGGGGGCGCCGTAGTAGACAACTTCCGTCAGTCGGCATTCGCTGCGGGCACCGAATTCCTTGGCCATCGAAGCCTTCAGCTCAGCCGGGATGGGCTTGCTGCAAGTATCGAAAGGCACATAGCACTTGTACTTGTCCTTTGGCTGGTTCTGGGCAAGAGTGCCCGAAGCCGCGCAGAGGAGGACGGCGAAGGTGAGAGAGCTGAACTGCACTGTGCATATGTTAAACTGGGTCTCAAGAGATGGAGGAACTATCTACTTACTGTTGGAACCTTGGACGATGTTGTATGATTGTCTGGTGACCTGGTCTGCAAACACAAAGGTGGAAGTGAGTGATCAGAGTTAGACTGGAGGTGTGTTGTAATATGTGCAGGATGTTCTGTTAAAGATCTAGGTATGCGAACGTTTCGAGAGACAGAATCATGGGACTTATATACAAATCTTTAACCTCCAGATGAAGCCGTACTGAGGCCGTTTGAGCATTCAGATCGATCTTACTTCTACGCGCATCTTGCAATCTGAGCTGGTAAGCTAGCTCGTAGTATAGAAGTCCTTCTGTAAGTTTCTTTCGCCTCATCTTGGCCTTCAAAAATCGCCTTGCTTAATCCACTTTTGGCGTAGCATCATTCTAGTGGCTCTGCAATAATTTGGCAACCGAGGACGAGGAAGGAAAACTCGCTGAATACCTTCCTAGCTAGAACTTAAGCATATGAGTCAACTGACAATGAAAACATATTAAATGAACACGAACAGGCTAAGTGTGTATTGTTCATCGCATCCTTTGACTTCAATGCAGCATGCAATTTCGGCCGCCTTCCTAGGCTGGTCAAGGAGGCACTTAAACCCCGATGAGATACTTTCCTACGGCTTTTGAGAGAAGTTACCGCCTGTTGTCAACTTCTCAGAAACCTAAAAACGAGCTATACTGTTTGTGCTCGTTATCTCGGTCCAGCCGAGACCTGAGGTATACTGGTTTAAGCTTTGTCTAGCGTTGTTCGAAAACGTTCGTCTTACCACGTAGGGTTTTCCCTAAAGGTAAGTTGACCTGTGCATACGAGTTATACAGCTAGAGATATACTGAATTGCCTAAATGCTTAATACGGGTTAGAGAAGGCTAATGCTATGAATAAAAAACCTAGATTCATGAACTTGAACTTACAACGAACCGCTTTCTAGACTCATTCCATTTGGAGCCGATAGTGAGGGTGCCTCGGCATGTCTGGAACTTTTCACAGCTTCACGTAGGAAATGCTTCATCATCGTGAGTTGAGAGAGTTCTGTTGAAGTTGTCGCCGACTGGCTCCAGGCCTTAAAAGGGGCCTCTTCTGCTGACAGGAATGAACTTTTCCCACCTCATCACCACAGTCTCTCATTCCTTGAACACACAATCATTTGAATCTGACCATCCTACAATCTTTCAACATGCGCTTCTCTGCATCCATCTTCACCGCCGTGGCCTTGGCCTCTGTGGCCATGGCTCTTCCCACCGACGTTCAAACCGTCGACTTGGCTGAGCGTGACTTCGTTGTGGAAACGCGTGATCTCTCCAGTCCCTCGTCTTCCGACGAGCTTCTCACTCGCGCTGCCTCCGACGAGACTGCCGTTGAGATCCTTGAACGAAGCGACTCGGACAAGGAAGTGGCTCCCAACACCGAGCTGGCCGTCCGCCAGCTTCCCCCCTCCAAGCGCAAGAACCTCTTCACCATCACCCTCAAAGGTGGCAACGTCATCTTCAACGGCGCCATCAAGTTCATCCTCGAGGCCGTCGTCGATACCACCAGCAAAGTCACCACGTTTCACCTCAACCCTTTGGTCGGTGGAAGCCCTGGATCAACCGCTTCCATGCGCAGCTACGAGTTCAAGAAGAACTTCTTCGAGTCTACCATCAACCGCGTCTCGGCTGAGGTGTCCTTTACTTACAGGACCGCATCTGGTGTCATCTACAACTTCCTTGCCAACGTTGTCTACGGAATCGACTCTCGCCTTAGTCTCAAGCTTGAGGATGTTCAGCTCTTTGACATTGAGAAGGCTACTCAGCAGATTGCTGGCAAAGCGGCCACCAACCTGTTCCTTGGTTCTTACGATGATGACTACAAGGACTTGTAGATGAAAAGTCCACAAGAACTTGGAATCGAGGTCTCCTGTCAGTGATGCCGTGTCTTGTCAAAGAAACTTTGTTCCTCTACTCCAAGCCACCGGCAAAAGTATTTAAGGGACGGCTCAATATGTTACATCAAGGCTAACAGCCTCCTATGGATCGACATCTGTCTCAACCAATAGTCTCTCGATCTCTTGTTAAGTTACGAACCGATATTGGGCGATTGATAGATATATGGATAGCTTTCAATAGATTCTCTATGTCCGACTTACTTAAGAGAACTGAGATGCCTTGACCAATAGCTGAACCTTCGAGTGTGGAGTCTTGAGGTTGTAGGGTGTGATGACACCGTCTCTTTCGAATCCGAAGACCGAGACGCCCAGACTTCTCATCCTATTCAGTCTTGCGTTTAATTATGCCAGCAGTATCACGAAGCCTGGCGCCTGCGTTGCGTGAGGAGTATGAGCGGTCACCATGTCACATACACCGTGGAAGGTTGTGGATGCCGTGCTTACCGATAACTTGTGGGTAGATCGCATACAGTGAGATTTTAGTGGTCCCGTATCTCCAAGCTGAATCGATCCATAGAGCCTCCTGCTCACCCACTCCCACCCTTTGCATATCGAATTGAACCCCCTCTTTTGCGACATTTGTTCTCTTTCCCCATTCCTGAGCTACGTGTCGTTGTAGAATTTTCGCAATTTGTGAATGCAACCACTATAGCCTGCAAAGATGGCAGATAAGCACGGCAAAAACTCTCACGAAGATGATTTCCGCTATCTCTCCGTGCCTCGCCCGGCCCGAGGCTACCATTCAGACAACGAATCACGGCAGAAAAAGAAGACCACACCCCGATCGTCATCACCTGACATACGATTCGGACCTGGAAAAGGAACAGAAATGTCTCATGCTGTGGCGTCTGGCAATGACAGGCCGTTTCCGGAGGCAGTTTCTCCCCAGCAAAAGAGGCCTTTACACCGGAAGAAAGTTTCCTTCGGTGCTGTAACAATTGAAGAATCAGCTTCGAAGCCACGACCTATCTCACCCGGAGGTCTCAGTGATAAGGCCTATTATTATAGACAGCTTGGCAAAGACGAAATCCGCCTGATCAGAGTCCTCCCAACGAGGACGTCCACAATCAAGCTCGAAATATTGCACAGATCCATCACAAGCCCTCCAGACTACGTGGCGGTATCTTACACCTGGGGGGATCCGGGAGACACCAAACGCTTAGACCTCGATGGTACAGAAATCCGTGTTTCTTCCAGCCTCCATGGCGCGTTGAGGGCACTTCGACAGCACCAAGAATCAGTTCTCGTATGGGTAGATGCACTCAGTATTAACCAGCAAGACTCTGTGGAGAAGACCCTGCAAATACAGCTCATGACAAGAATCTACAGGTTAGCAAAGTCTGTAGCCATTTGGCTGGGACCTGAAGCAGATGAGAGCGATTCCGCCACGAGATTTCTCAAAGAAGTGGCCCAGAAACCAGATGCCAGGGACTTCACACCACTCATTTCATCAGGCATAAGGAAGGCGGAAGTACGCGCTGTTATCTCTCTATTCGAGAGAGAGTATTGGAACCGACTATGGGTTGTTCAAGAGGTCTTCAATGCTCGCAAGATCCTGGTTTATTGTGGCTCCAGTGTTCTCCCGTGGGAAACTTATACGGACGCTGCCAGTGTTTTCCGGAACAATATGAAGGTCTTGAACCGCTATTTGTCTGGCACTGAACAAGGCAAGACCTATACAGGAGTCTCGCGGAATCACTTCACCTACGCCGCAATCCTAGCAAATCATGGCCCTTCGAGTCTTCCTAAGAGTCGATCCCTTACCGGGTTCATTTTTGGGGAGTACTCTTTACTGGAGGTAATGAGGGCATGCAGAACCAAAAATGCGACTGATCCAAAGGATAAAGTGTTTGGAACCCTGGGCTTACTCTCTGAAGAGTTGCGAAATGATATTAGAGTCGACTACAGATCGACTGTAAAGTCAATCTACACACACATCGTCGACTTGATCGTGTCAACCACAGGACGTTTGGATGTCATTTGCGATTCTATCCATTATCCACTGCACGCGAACAACGCTAGCCTCCCTTCTTGGGTCCCTGACTGGTCACATAATCCTGGCACAAAGGCCATGGGCGCCATGAACCTCACTTCAAAGTTTTCGGCATCTTTAAGCCAGAAGGCAAAAGTTGCCTTGGACGGCAATTTATTGGAGTTGAGTGGCGTCGAAATCGACACCATAGAAGTTCACGGTATTGCGGTTGGCCCTCTAGGAAAGCTGGCCGATTACCTGATGGCGTTTGTCCATTGGAGGGCATTGTTCCTGGGACAATACAAAGGAGAAAAACTTGACAACCAGTATCACTTCTTCCGAGCGCTTTGTCTTAATCAAATGCCCTCGGAAGTGAAAAGTCCCGGGGACTGGGTGACGGCTTGCAACCACGTCTTCGCATCCTTGCTACGTGAACGTCTGCCTGAGCTCCCTCTTGACCGGGAACTCGAGGATTACGTCCACGCTACAAGAACGATCGGACCCCAGGATCGACGACAGTTTCTTCAAGAACACTTTGGAGACCGTATGAGAGGGCGTTGTTTCTATGTGACGAAAGAAGGTCGCCTCGGGATGGGGTCAGGCTACATGGCTGTCGGCGATGCCATTATTGTGCCGTTTGGTTGTTCTACCCCTATCATCATCCGTCCGGAAGGGAGTGACGGGGGTTACCGCTACGTTGGAGACGCTTATCTCAACGGCTTTATGTACGGGAGAGCGATTGACCAGTGGAGAAAGGGGGAAAGGAAGGAACTAAAGTTCAAGTTGCGCTGAGGAGTGGGTGCGAAAGGGGTGGAACGATGTATCATATAGTCGTGTCAGGAGAACGCCGATGGTGGCGTTTCCAAAACTACAAAGATACGTCGGAATTGTTGTTGAGTCTTTCATATTTACTTACTGCCTCTGATTCATATCTTCTTTTCCGGACTCGTTATTGAGTTCATTTACTGCTCAGAAACCGAAGAGCAACCATTATCTTTCGCTTCCGCTTGGAAGTCCCGATCCGATGTCGAAAGCGACGTCGAGTTGACCAACTAGGCGGCAGACTTCGGGGTGATGTCTTTGTGGGGAAACATCCGTTTCTCTGCAAATACCAATCGACAACCTCTCGGAATATTTGTGCTACAAGGTAAATCAATGGTCTACTCTGTCGACTCCACTTACCTCAAGCAAGCCCCTCCTAAGGAGCGTGGTCTGCTTTCGATTGCTTGTAGTCTCAATCGACGATTTCCTCTCCAATACTTACTGTCTGTCCTCCAATACTGACTGTCTGTTATCACAAATGCATTAATAGGCGGCTCGTGTCGGTAGTGATCCGCGAGAGCAGAGGAGCCGTCCGACTCTGTGTTGGTGAGCGCCGAGCCAGCCTGAAGGACGAGCGACAGCAATTGGCCAGAGCAGAGTCGAAGAAGCTGACCGCGTCACTGGTAAGACTTAAGACGTTGATTCCGAGCTTATCGAGTATCCTTCCAAAGTTGTTGCTTGTTTGGGAGGTTGAGTGTAACCTCCCCTGAGGCTAATTTGCAGGCGTCCTCGTATCTTTGACGAATCTTGCGTGAGCGTGTTTGTACGGCTTGGCGTTACATGCCGCGTCGGACACCGTTCGGTCGGGGAGATTGGCGATGTAACTCCCGCTTACGCGGTAAGCCGTCGCATCGCCCGTGAACCGTCTACTCCATGATCCGTCGCTGGCTCGGGTGCAAGGAAGCGGCCGACAGGGCTGCGGCGTGTAACGGAGTCCTGCAGTCTCCTGAATCTCATTCTCTGATAACACCACCGGGCGCAGCCACTGGGATGCTAGCGTCACAAACAAGGCGTCGACCAAGACGGCAGGTTCTAGAAAGTGCGGATGTGACGAGGAACCAATCGAAGTGTTTCCGGCCCTGCTGGTATCCACTACCGCTCTGCCGCCGGTGGGTGGAAGACAGCCCCCTAGTGGTGGGTTTGATCCGTTGGGCGGTGATTTGCGCCGTATTCACTGGTGGCTGCTGGCAGGCCGCAGATGAAGCTATTTCGATGCCTCGGGATTAGGGGCTTCTACCTCCGCTAGCTTGTGGCAATGACGAATGCCCCCCTGGGTTCCCACCCTGGTTGCAGAGAATTCCGTGGAGACGTAAGGAGGTGGGCAAACCTAATATGATTGAGTATGAGCCATACCGCAAGATTGATATCTGATCGTGCGGGACGACCCCTGGAGGGGACGATCATTCCTGATGAGTGTCCCGAACAAGAACACCGAAGCCTCCACATATGCACAGTCCGTAGCGGCAATATGGCTTACAAATGGAGGAGGGTGCTGCCAGCGGCCTTGCAAGCGGACCCCGAAGAGCTGGAGCGAGCACTTGCGAACAAGCAAGAAGTCCGCCTTGGCGGTACAGATGGCACCTTTCGTCACAACCAAGTTCCAATGCCTTGCGAAGCGCGGGTTCATCAAAGTCACCAGACGTGACGTGCATCCCGTTTCGGATTGGTGTGTCCTGCTCAACATTGTCGTTCGATAGTCCTTGAGGGTCGACTGAGGAATCGGCGTAAGTGGATGTAACAATGAACAGGGTGAATGGGGGAGGAATCTATAAGATTTCTCGGAGCCCACATCGTTCCAAGAGGCGGGAGTGTTCTTGATGTTTGTTCCGAGTGATGTGCCAGTGCTTATGTCTCATGGTGGTCGTGCCATGTCGTTGTTATTTAGTGTCGCACACTTTGGTGATTGATGTAGTCAAAAAAGGGGGTCTCGAGTAACTGAGAAGCCGGGGAAACAAGGTGCAGCACGTAAGAAAAAATAAAGATTAAACGAACGGATAGTCTTTTGAGTCTGGACATTGGCCGTCTTTAGACGTTGGGAATTTGGACTTCTCGGAAAAGCGTACGGAGTCGACGGCGCCCGCTCGGGTCGCTTCAACTTTCCGAAAGCCCGTACAATGGGGACCGCCCCACCCCTCCGACTCCCTAACAACGTTGCGGACTTTTTCGTGATGATCGCCGCCAAGGGAGCCGCCGCTATCGACCCACACCATTCACTTACACGCAGGCTGCAGGCTATGACAAGATGCAAGAATTTGGATACCCTAATCAAGCTCAACCAAAGTGTCTCTACGTCAATTTGTGAGATTGTAGCATATCTGGTGCACGGATGACCCGGGGCTCTGGATCGACTTTTGAGCCTTCGGATGCTGAGATGGACCCCTTGCGTATTATGGGCCGGGGGCACACGGGGAGCGAGACACTCCGTTGACATGTTGATAAATCTAGATCTAGGCTTATTCACATGAGACGTTTTGAATCTTCAGTCGAAAGCTATTATTGAGTTCTCCTCCCCTTCACATACACAACCTACAATAATATTCTCCTTTTCTTCATCTGACTGAGACTGGTTCACTCACCGGCTATCACGACAAGCCGAGCGAACAACTGGTTGATGCTGACCGGTAGGCCTCCATCTATGGGATACGAGGAAGAGATCAAGTTGACTAATTGATTCGCGACTCCAGGATAGCAAGACACTCTTGCAACCGCTCCATCAGCCAGCCGTCTCAGGACACCCGTATACCTTAATTCACCAAACCGACACTATGTCTGCCTTCAACTCAGACGAGAAGTCTCGCCTCCCGACCCGGTCTCCGGCCGGCAGCCAGAAGACAGTGGTCGATCACGATGCGATCTTCACTCAGAACGCGGAAGCACTCCCGACTTCGAAACCTACCGACAACTCTCTGTACGAAAAAGCCACCGGCGATGGATCTGCTGCATCAACCTCAGAAGACGACGGTAACGACACAGAACTGGACCGTCGTCAATCAATCGTGCAGGAACTGGCACGGGAGTACACACGGCACTCCGCGGTCAACATCGATGGAAACAGCATGGCCTTGTTCGGCAGCGAGGACCCCAACTCACCCCTCAACCCGAACGGAAAGAACTTCAGCGCTCGCAAGTGGGCAAAAACCCTCGCCAACGTCACCAACGAGCACGGATCTGGATACCGCACTGCGGGCTTCGTCTACCAGGACTTGAACGTCTTCGGATTCGGCCAAGAGACGGACTACCAGAAGGACGTCGGCAATGTTTGGCTCGAGATCCCCGGCCTTGTCCGCAACCTCACCTCCAAGACCGGGGGCCAACGCCGCATTGACATTCTCCGCGACTTCAACGGTCTGGTGGAGGCAGGTGAGATGCTCGTCGTTCTTGGACCCCCAGGATCTGGCTGCTCTACCTTCCTCAAGACCATTGCTGGAGAGATGAGCGGCATTTACACCGACGAACGTGCCTACTTCAACTACCAAGGTCTTTCGGCAAAGGAACTCCACAAGCACCACGCCGGTGACGCCATCTACACTGCCGAAGTCGATGTTCACTACCCTCAACTCTCCGTGGGCGATACTCTTACTTTCGCTTCCCGTGCGCGCTGCCCCCGAACCCTGCCTCCCGGTGTCACTGCCAACCAGTACTGCGACCATCTCCGTGACGTCGTCATGGCCATGTACGGCATCAGCCACACGGTCAACACCCGCGTGGGCGACAACTATGTCCGTGGTGTCTCTGGCGGTGAGCGTAAGCGTGTGACGATTGCCGAGGCGACGTTGTCGAATGCTCCCTTGCAATGTTGGGATAACTCAACCAGAGGTCTCGACTCTGCCAACGCTGTAGAGTTTTGCAAGACCCTCCGCTTGCAGTCGGAACTGTTCGGCCAGACCTGCGCTGTCTCAATTTACCAGGCGCCTCAGAGTGCCTACGACCTGTTCGACAAGGTTGCTGTTCTCTACGAGGGACGTCAGATCTTCTTTGGCCCCGCCACCGAAGCTCGTCAGTACTTCATCAACCTCGGCTTCGAGTGCCCAGCCCGTCAGACCACGCCTGACTTCCTGACTTCTATGACTGCACCTACTGAGCGTGTCGTTCGTCCTGGCTGGGAGTCTCGCGTACCGCGCACGCCCGATGAGTTTGCTGCGTGCTGGAAGGAGAGTCGCGAGTGCGCGGCTCTCAAGCAGAAGATTGAGCAGTACAAGGCGGATCACCCTCTCGACGGCCCGGATGCCGAAGTCTTCAGAAACCAGAAGCAGTCGGTCCAGGCAAAGAACCAGCGCCTCAAGTCTCCCTTCATTCTTTCTTACGGCCAGCAAGTCAAGCTCTGTCTCTGGCGTGGCTTCAAGCTCCTCCGGGGCGATCCCAGTCTGACACTGTTCTCCTTGATCGCCAATTCATGCACGGCTCTTATCATGTCCTCCCTGTTTTACAACCTCCCGAACAATACGTCCTCCTTCTACAGTCGATCCGCGGTTCTCTTTGTCGCCATTCTCGCCAATGCTTTCTCTAGTGCCCTCGAGATTCTCACCCAATACGCCCAGCGGCCCATTGTTGAGAAGCAACGCCGTTACGCATTCTACCACTCCTCGGCGGAAGCTTTTTCCTCTGTCTTGGTGGACATGCCATACAAGATCACCAATACCATCTGCTACGACTTGATCATCTACTTCATGACGAACCTGAACAGAGAACCCGGAAGCTTCTTCTTCTTCCTGTTAACCACATTCCTCATGGTGCTTTCCATGTCTGGTCTATTCAGATCCATGTAAGTCAGCTTCGTCCAACAACGTGAGTGAGTCTAACGTCAATCAGTGCCTCCCTGTCCCGCACATTGTCGCAGGCCATGGTTCCCGCTTCCATCTTGATTCTTGCCCTGGTCATCTTCACTGGATTCGTCATTCCCGTCGATTACATGCTTGGCTGGTGCCGATGGATCAACTACTTGGACCCTGTCGCGTACGGATTCGAATCGG